AGTAGCTTTGTATCTTTAGGAGTGCTCCTCTGATTATAATTACAAAATATAAAAATTAAAAAGTGAGGAACCAAAAGCAGGCAGAAACTGCCGAACTGACCCTTGAAATTAGTAAACTGCATTCGGTGAAATTTGTATTTATAAAGGTTATAGCCTAAAGACATTCCCTAGTTACCACAGTGTGGGGCAGCTAAAACTCAAGCAGAAGGCCACAGTATTAATGGCTCAAACAGCAAGTGGACAGTGTTTGGCTGTGGTAGTGTGAGTATTGTAACAGGATTTTTTTGAATGACAAAGAAAAAATTTTTACTGTGAGGATAAATTCTGGCCACCTCAGAAAAATTTTAAGACAGCTGCTATATAGCTCAACTATGCAATTCAGTACAAGACATGTTTGCTGTATGCCTGGGTTAAGGGGTTTAATATAATTTTTAAAAACGTTGACCCACTCCTTTTTGGGGAATATAGTGAACCACACAGCCTGAGAAACTATTTGCTATAAACCCTTAGAAATGCTGGGTAAAATATAACAAACTTAAAAAAAAAATGCACGTCTGAGTTGGAAGGAAAATAAAGAATTTCCCTAGAGTTCAAAAACAAAGAAGGAAATAAAAGCAAAGCCATGGTTACAAGTGGATACTGCAGCTGCCCTTGGAGGATTTGCTATCTCAGTGACACAGGGCTTGGGACTTAATATTCCTTCAAAGACATAATACAAGGCCTCACACTTCTCTCCTCCTCCCTCTATTTCTACCTAAGAGCAGCTCAAAGGGCTCCAATTCCAGGGTGGACTAAAACAATTCACCTATTGGAAGAGGGAGATAACACACAAGTTTACCTGTATTGACCTAGGCTCTGGATGGTCAAGAAGAAAAAAATAAGTGTTTCAGAAGAATTTGCAACCAGAGACCTGCCCTTAACTGGATTTGGAGTTTAAATTTTCACTACAGAGAAGTACAAATTATTACCCAACCAAAACATTTAACATTAAATAGTCCTAAGTCTGTGATAGCCCTGGTTATCAGCAAAAGCAAACAAAAAGCCTCTAAGAACAAATATACCCTCAATATAGGCAGTAGGAAAATTCCCACAGGTAAAGCTTAAACAGATATGAGCTTTGTTAAAATAAGTTTGGCCTAAAGGTTTCTCTGGGTATAGTGAACTACAACCTAACTTGATATATAAACAGACTGTATCCTACTCTTGGAACAAGTAGTGGAGTTTCAGCCAATTACAGGCAGCCCACTGTTTAAATTGTGTTCAAATAAGGCAAACTCCCACCTGTAATGAATCCAGCTGTTTCTGTAACTCACTTCATTTTCTGTACATCACTTTCCATTTTCTGTCAATAAATCTTCCCCAAACACGTGGCAACCCCAAAGTCACTCCGAACCTGTTCGGGTTCTGGAGGCTGTACGATTCGCGAATCATTCTTTGCTCAATTAAACTGTTAAATTTAATCTGTCTGAAGTTTTTCTTTCTTTCTAATAGCTTTCAATACAAAGTTACAAAACTCGTAAGAAAACAAACCATCGTAAGGATTAGCAGAAATAAAAAGAGAAGTAGTACCCCAAGGACTTCAGATAATAACACAGAAACTATAAAATAAAAAAGTTAAAAATCACTTATTGAAAAAAATAAGAAAAAAAGAACTTCTTGGAACTTCTGCTTGCCAGAGTTGAGGTACGTGAGAGACCTGGTTGGGTCACCCGCTGCTACCGGAAGTGTCTTGGTGGAGGTTGCTACCGTGCATGTGCCCCGTGCACGTGCCATGGTTTTGGCTAAGCCAAACCACACTCGTGCTGCGGCCGCCGCAGCAGCAAGACGGCAACTTGAAGGAGCAGGAGGGTGGGCGGGCGCTTGGTGGGGCCCGAAGTTTCATCGGTGCCACCGCAGCCATGGCCCTGATCAAGGTGACTGCTGGTACGGCCAGGCCTGACCCTCCCCCGTCAAATTCTTTATTGATGATATACTGACACTGTATTCCACAACCTTGCTAAACGCACTAGTCCTGTAGCTTTTTTGTTGATTCTTTGGGGGTTTTTACAGAGACAACTGTGTCATCTGTGAATAAACAGTTTTATCTAGTATTTTTTCTTTTCAATCTGTATACGTATATTTCTTTCTCTTGATTTACCTCACTGTCCAGAAATTTCAGTGCTATGTTGAATAGGAGTGGTGAAAGCAGAAATCCTACTTTTGCTCTCAAAGTTAGGGAGAAAGTATTCAGTCTCTCATCATTAAGTATAATGTCACTTTTTGCGTTTTTTCAGATATCCCTTCTTGGATTGAGGAAGTTTCTTTCTATTCTTAGTTTATTGAGAGTTTGCATTATGAATAAATGTTGATTTTTATTTGATGCAAAAAATAAGAAAAAGATCACACTATTGTGAAAACACACAGATTTGAAACAGAGAAAACACATCTGAAGAAAATTAGTAAACTAAAATATAGATCTGAGGAAAGCACTCAGAACGGAACACAAAGAGAAAGATGGAAGGTTAAGAGACAAATAGGAAAGAATGTGAAGTTTCAACAAGATTCGAAGAGATATTGGCAGAGATAATACTTTAAGAGATATTTGCTGAAAATATTCCAGAGTTAATGTGAAAAGTCAAACTATTTCCTAATGAAAAATTATGTACTGAGGAACTGAATTTCAGAAACTAAATAGCAAAATTTTATCAAAAACTCACATGATTAAATCTTCTTGTGAAGGCAACTGCATTTGGTGCAGAACTATATTTTTCTTTTTTATTCCATCCACAACTTGAAAGCTCCTGGAAAATTAAGGTGAAAAATTAAACATAAATTCAAGAAATAGCCCAGTTTTCTTGTCATATGAAGGGTTTCAAAACATTAAGGACAGTTTGTGTCCCTTTCTAGAACCACTTTATTTAATATGAATATATCTAAATTATAACCATTCAGTTAAATCACAAAAGCAAATTTTATTAGTAAAATATAGGAGTAAATATATATTTGTCTTATAAAACATAGGTAAACTTATATTCCATAGAGAGAATACTGGTGGATTCTTCTCTGAAGAGATTTGAAGAAGAAAAAATGTACAGATCATGAAAGTTGAACATCGACATCATATAGTGAAGACTATTGGTTATGAAGCCCTATTCAATCACTCAGAACTCTCAATCAGTTTTTTAGTATCTCACTATTTGAGCTGACAGTCAACGATCCCGAATATTTGAAGAAATCTCTAATAAAAGGATTCTTGATCCCCCAAAGAGTCTGTAAATAAAATTCAAAGATCCCAAGAACTTGGATGTAAAAAAAATTAATTTTTATTGTACATTAACCTCTAACTGAAATAAGACATTCCTTTTCATTGTAACTATAGGTTATGATGATAATACATGTGATTTTGTCACCAATAAAAATCATAGATATTTTCATATTACATTACAGCTGATGCAGATATCTAAAAGTATCATTTACACTCCAGTACTTCATAATTATGTTAGTTATAAGACCCACCTCTCAATCTTACTTAATATGTTAATGAGGAAGCACATATATTGCTATATAACCGAGGAAGGAGATGACAATTATAGTTTCAACACAGCAGATAAGCAGTAAATGCTTTGGAGACATAAATTACTAGCTTTTTTAACCTTAAAATTAGATTATAATTTTCAAATTTGAAATTATTGAAAGAAAAATTGAAATGACAAAAGCAATTCTACAGTTCAAAAAAATGCTTGGTATTCAAATAACCTATATATATGCTCATTTCATATTATCTCCCTGTAAGGGAAGAAAATATTTAGTGGTAAATATATTGACACAAAAATAATACATGACATGATATTAAAAACACCAAACTTCTAGAAAAAATTTTTTGTTCTTTCTAAAATCACAGCATACTTACATAACTACATAAAGACATCATATTTTAGGACAAAGTTCCTAGGAATAATCCATAAATGTTGAATTTGTTTATAACCAACTAGTATAATTTCCAAATTTATATTAATAATATAAAGTATCTCTATCAAATTACAATTAAACTTATCAAACCACTCAAAGTAGCCATTTAACACAGAATTCAAACCCAATTACAGATCTTTATACATAAGGGTGATTTCATTTTCCTATTATAAGTAATGCTACATTATAAATAATAAATATCCTTGCACCTTTTCTGACATTTCTGATCATTTCCTAAAAATATGGTTCTAGCAGTGAAATCACTAGGTCATAGAGTATGAACTTTGTCAAGGCTTTGACACCTGTCAAATTGCCCTCCTGAAATACTGAATCACTTTCACTACTAGTTTCACAACGGTCTTATCTAAACTAGGTATATTTACTTCTCTTTCTACATATTATTGCCTTAATTTCCCCAAGTGTGAGACTAATTATATTTGTTGTTAAATAGAAAGAAAAAAAGGTGGGGAGGGGGCTGTGAATCACCCATCACCAAAAGAACCTATGTAAACATCTTCCCAATCTTCTTTATGTGCATACGTGGACCTGTTTTTTTAATTATTTATTTAAAGTACCCAATATACCTGTTCTTTACTGTGTGATTTAACCTACCAATTGTGTTTTAGAAAGTCATTCCCATCCTGAGAACAGAGATATCTTAATAACAGCAATAATAATAAGAGTTAACACTACTACAGAGATTACTACATGCCAGTCTAAGTGCTTTGTACATATCAACTAATTTGATCCTATCTTCATCATTATAATTAGTCATGATAAATAAGGAATCCAGAAAAAATACTGGCCAATTATGCCTTCATTTTTTACATTTAAAAAAACTATAATGCTTTTCTGACTCCTCAAATAAGAAATGCTGAGAGATTTTAGAAAGTCCATCCAATTCTTAGAATATTTCAACATCATTAATGGAAAAATGCTTTGCCACTTTCAAAAAACTGTTGCAAGCAGACTGAAAAAAGAGAGAAAGAGAGATGTATAGTCACATTATTTGGGAGCAAATGAGCTAAAGTTCCCCTGAAGCCCTCAATTCCAAAGAATCTTATAATTAGAAAACATAAAAAGACAAACAGATTTTTTATCCTCATAAAACGGTAGTTTTTGCTTCAGAAAACATTTCCCTCTCTGAAACAATGTCACGTTACTAGCCTATCTACCTTACTAGCCTATCTACCGCAACAAACAAAACTATAAAGATGGAAACAAATTAACGGTTGCCAAGGGTTAAGGATGGGGGAGAGAGGGTGAAGAGTAGTGGGATGTGTGTGACTATAAAGGGGTAGCACAATGGAGAGATCTTTGTGGTAATGGAATCTTGACTATGGTAGTGGTGAGACAATGTACATATATGACAAAATGTCATACAACTATGCAGACATTATTGTAAAAACATCAATTTCCTGGTTTTGATATTGTACTATAGTTAATGTAAGATGTAACTGCTCAGGAAAACTGGGTGAAGGGTAAATGGAACTTATCTGCACTGTTTTTGCAATCTCCTATGAATATCTATCTCTGCCCCCCCTTTTTGTTTTGCACCTTCCTGTGAATCTAATTATCTCAAAATAAAACATTTAAAAAAAACAATAAAAACAAAAATCCACTTAATGGATTATGAAGCTAAAATTGCACTGGGACTCCAGGAACTCACCCACTACTGCCTTCTTAAACCCGGCAGTGCATTTACAGTTTCCTGGCCTTGAAGGAATTTTGACCTGGCCCACCTCTACCTCTAAATAGTCACTAAATTTCTCTGTGAGAAGAACTGCTTTTCTCTTTGTCTCTATCTCTTTTTGTCTCAGACTCTAGAATCTTCCTCTAAATCACATTAGAATATAATCTGAGAAATAAATTCTGCCACAAGTGTCACCTTATATATCGACAGTTTATCAGCCTGGTCAAGAGTAATTCTACACTAAAACATCTCACATGAACACCAAAAAGTTGAAGTCAACTTGGTGACTCACAGGATGCTTTTTTTAGGGTCTGATTAAAGAATAAGACTGTGTTTTATACTATGTATATAACCCTCCATTTCAGTAAAGGCTAAATGAAGTATAGCAGTCTTGACACTCCTAAAATTTGTTCCACTGGATTTAACTTGCAATTTTAAAATCAGAGAGTAAAGACAAATCTTCAAGTAGTAACTCAGATATGTACAAAGGTAACTTCTTAGTGGTTATTATAAGTATATTTGAAGAATATTCATGGATTCATTTTGAACCATATTTAACTTGCAATTTTAAAATCAGAGAGTAAAGACAAATCTTCAAGTAGTAACTCAGATATATACAAAGGTAACTTCTTAGTGGTTATTATAAGTATATTTGAAGAATATTCATGGATTCATTTTGAACCACGAAACTACTGAGCCCAAATTTCAGTTGCATTTTTTCTGGAAGCACATGGGAAAGCAAAACCCCACAACTGATGACCACCTACCCTATGAAAGAATTACTGAATTCACAGGAGTCACAGCTTCTCTTAAGTCTTGTAGGTTTGTTCTGAAAAGTGAAATTCTTGATCTAAATTTCATCTTGAAGGTTCCAACACTCTTAAAAGGACTGTTCTAAGGGTGATGTTGTAGGGATACCTATAGATAGAAGAAGAGAAAAGGCCAATATAGACCAGCATGTAGACAAGACTGAGGGAAGAAAAGAAAAAGTAATGGAATCTATAAAAGACTGGTGGGATAGGGGCACGGGGGCAGGGGACTCTCAAAGCAGAAGATAATTATTGCTGAGGTATCTTTGTGTTCAAAAGTGGAAAACTTTAAAGGCATATGTATATCCATTAGCATTCAACCTATATGGCTACTTAGAAAGAAGTCTGGCCACAGATGAAGTGCTTACTACTACTCCTATATTTTTAATCCTCAAAATAAGCTTTGGAACTATAAAACTCCATAAGACAAATCAATAATACCCCTTATCTTTTCTAATATACTCACATTCTCTTCTCTTCCCTCCTCCCAATATCTTAAAGCTGCTTCTTTCATGAGATCAGAGATAAAGGCAGGAGCTGTCTTTTGTCACTGAAACCATGATATACTTACTCTTCCAAACAATTTTCTTTACTTTCTCTAGTCCTAACCTAAGCCTAACTTTACTAAAGGTTAAGAAAGTTCACGGTGATGAATAGCAATAATACAAATTGACAAAACAGCTGCATCTTGCTTCTAATAAAAGTTTATTTTTATTTACAAGAAAAATTTGAAGTCTACCTGTCGTCTTTTTCTTCAAATTTCTCACTATATATACTATTTACATTTTAATTTTAATGCAAATGATAATTTTCATTAAAACAAGAATAGAATTATGATACTCCTGATGTTGGAACTTTGGATGTTGCCGAGCATATGGTCTCTTGGCATACACATTAAAGTTTGCACAGAGAAAGTTTTTATATGTATTGTCAGAAATATCTCAACTGTAAGTTTTTCAAAAATATTTTAGTAAAATTCATAATTATCTATTATGTATTTTCTCTCATTTAACCAGCATTCTTCCTCAATCTCACGGAAAATCCTTCAGATACAGTCAATGCTTCCTCAACATGAAAGAACTCACACTGGAGGGAAGCCGCATAAATGTATAAGAGCCTCCTAAAAGAAAACAAACCTTCATGATCAAAAGAGAAACCACACTGGGGAGAGCTATGTATATAAGAAAAGAAAAGCAAGAGAGCAACTGTAGTGGATTGAATTATGTCCCCCCAAAACTCAATGAAGTTTGAACTGTGTCCCCCAAGTTTTATGTACTAGAAACTTAGCCCCCACTGTGACTGTTAAGAGGGTGGGAAATCCTATTATGGT